ACCGGTATCACTACTTAAGTTTTCCCGACCGCTTCCATATTGACCACGCGAGTCTCTGCGAAGCAAGGTAACGGGGTAACGCATCGGTAAATAACTTATAATAATGGTCTAAGGGTGCCTAAGTTGTATGTGGTGTGTGTGGTGTGTGTGGTGTGTGTGTGTGGTGTGTGTGGTGTGTGTAGTGTGTGTAGTGTGTGTGTGTGTGTGATGTGTGTGTGGTGTGTGTGTGTGGTGTGTGTGGTGTGTGTAGTGTGTGTAGTGTGTGTAGTGTGTCTGTGTTTTGTGTGTGTGTGGTGTGAGTGGTGTGTGTATGGTGTGTATGGTGTGTGTGGTGTGTGTGTCTGTGTTTTGTGTGTGTGTGGTGTGAGTGGTGTGTGTATGGTGTGTGTGGTGTTTGTGATGTGTGTATGGTGTGTGTGGTGTTTGTGGCGTGTGTGGTGTGTGTGGTGTGTGTAGTGTGTGTAGTGTGTGTAGTGTGTGTGTGTGTGATGTGTGTGTGGTGTGTGTGTGTGGTGTGTGTGGTGTGTGTAGTGTGTGTAGTGTGTGTAGTGTGTCTGTGTTTTGTGTGTGTGGTGTGAGTGGTGTGTGTATGGTGTGTATGGTGTGTGTGGTGTGTGTGTCTGTGTTTTGTGTGTGTGTGTGTGTGTGGTGTGAGTGGTGTGTGTATGGTGTGTGTGGTGTTTGTGATGTGTGTATGGTGTGTGTGGTGTTTGTGGCGTGTGTGATGTGTGTGGTGTGTGTAGTGTGTGTAGTGTGTGTAGTGTGTGTAGTGTGTGTAGTGTGTGTGTGGTGTGTGTGTGTCTGTGTTATGTGTGTGTGGTGTGTGTGTGTCTGTGTTTTGTGTGTGTGTGGTGTGCGTGGTGTGTGTATGGTGTGTGTGGTGTGTGCGGTGTGTGCGGTGTATGTGGTGTGTGTGGTGTGTGTAGTGTGTGTAGTGTGTGTAGTGTGTGTAGTGTGTGTAGTGTGTGTGTGATGTGTGTGTGGTGTGTGTGGTGTGTGGTATGTGTGGTCTGTGTGGTGTGTATGGTGTGTGTAGTGTGTGTAGTGTGTGTAGTGTGTGTAGTGTGTGTAGTGTGTGTGTGATATGTGTGTGGTGTGTGTGTGTGGTGTGTGTGGTGTGTGTAGTGTGTGTAGTGTGTGTAGTGTGTGTGTGTGGTGTGTGTGTGTCTGTGCTTTGTGTGTGTGTGGTGTGCGTGGTGTGTGTATGGTGTTTGTGGTGTTTGTGGTGTGTGTATGGTGTGTGTGGTGTGTGTGGTGTGTGTAGTGTGTGTAGTGTGTGTGTGTGATGTGTGTGTGGTGTGTGTGTGTGGTGTGTGTGGTGTGTGTAGTGTGTGTAGTGTGTGTGTGTGTGATGTGTGTGTGGTGTGTGTGTGTGGTGTGTGTGGTGTGTGTAGTGTGTGTAGTGTGTGTGTGTGTGTGATGTGTGTGTGGTGTGTGTGTGTGGTGTGTGTGGTGTGTGTAGTGTGTGTAGTGTGTGTGTGTGTGTGATGTGTGTGTGGTGTGTGTGTGTGGTGTGCGTGGTGTGTGTATGGTGTTTGTGGTGTTTGTGGTGTGTGTATGGTGTGTGTGGTGTGTGTGGTGTGCGTGGTGTGTGTATGGTGTTTGTGGTGTTTGTGGTGTGTGTGGTGTGTGTGTGTGGTGTGTGTGGTGTGTGTAGTGTGTGTAGTGTGTGTGTGTGATGTGTGTGTGGTGTGTGTGTGGTGTGTGTGGTGTGTGTAGTGTGTGTAGTGTGTGTAGTGTGTCTGTGTTTTGTGTGTGTGTGTGGTGTGAGTGGTGTGTGTATGGTGTGTATGGTGTGTGTGGTGTGTGTGTGTCTGTGTTTTGTGTGTGTGTGTGTGTGGTGTGAGTGGTGTGTGTATGGTGTGTGTGGTGTTTGTGATGTGTGTATGGTGTGTGTGGTGTTTGTGGCGTGTGTGGTGTGTGTGGTGTGTGTAGTGTGTGTAGTGTGTGTAGTGTGTGTAGTGTGTGTAGTGTGTGTGTGTGGTGTGTGTGTGTCTGTGTTATGTGTGTGTGGTGTGTGTGTGTCTGTGTTTTGTGTGTGTGTGGTGTGCGTGGTGTGTGTATGGTGTGTGTGGTGTGTGCGGTGTGTGCGGTGTGTGTGGTGTGTGTGGTGTGTGTAGTGTGTGTAGTGTGTGTAGTGTGTGTAGTGTGTGTAGTGTGTGTGTGTGTGTGATGTGTGTGTGGTGTGTGTGGTGTGTGGTATGTGTGGTCTGTGTGGTGTGTATGGTGTGTGTAGTGTGTGTAGTGTGTGTAGTGTGTGTAGTGTGTGTAGTGTGTGTGTGATATGTGTGTGGTGTGTGTGTGTGGTGTGTGTGGTGTGTGTAGTGTGTGTAGTGTGTGTAGTGTGTGTAGTGTGTGTAGTGTGTGTGTGTGGTGTGTGTGTCTGTGTTTTGTGTGTGTGTGGTGTGCGTGGTGTGTGTATGGTGTGTGTGGTGTGTGCGGTGTGTGCGGTGTGTGTGGTGTGTGTGGTGTGTGTAGTGTGTGTAGTGTGTGTAGTGTGTGTAGTGTGTGTAGTGTGTGTGTGTGTGATGTGTGTGTGGTGTGTGTGGTGTGTGGTATGTGTGGTCTGTGTGGTGTGTATGGTGTGTGTAGTGTGTGTAGTGTGTGTAGTGTGTGTAGTGTGCGTAGTGTGTGTGTGATATGTGTGTGGTGTGTGTGTGTGGTGTGTGTGGTGTGTGTAGTGTGTGTAGTGTGTGTAGTGTGTGTAGTGTGTGTAGTGTGTGTGTGTGGTGTGTGTGTGTCTGTGTTTTGTGTGTGTGTGGTGTGCGTGGTGTGTGTATGGTGTTTGTGGTGTTTGTGGTGTGTGTATGGTGTGTGTGGTGTTTGTGGTGTTTGTGGTGTGTGTGGTGTTTACGGTGTTTGTGGTGTGTGTGGTGTGTGTGGTGTGTGTAGTGTGTGTAGTGTGTGTAGTGTGTGTAGTGTGTGTGTGATATGTGTGTGGTGTGAGTGTGTGGTGTGTGTGGTGTGTGTAGTGTGTGTAGTGTGTGTAGTGTGTGTAGTGTGTGTAGTGTGTGTAGTGTGTGTGTGTGGTGTGTGTGTGTCTGTGTTTTGTGTGTGTGTGGTGTGCGTGGTGTGTGTATGGTGTTTGTGGTGTTTGTGGTGTGTGTATGGTGTGTGTGGTGTTTGTGGTGTTTGTGGTGTGTGTGGTGTTTACGGTGTTTGTGGTGTGTGTGGTGTGTGTGGTGTGTGTAGTGTGTGTAGTGTGTGTAGTGTGTGTGTGTGGTGTGTGGTGTGTGTGTCTGTGTTTTGTGTGTGTGGTGTGTGTGGTGTGTGTGGTATGTGTGGTGTGTGGTGTGTGTGGTATGTGTGGCGTGTGTGGTGTGTGTGGTGTGTGTGGTGTGTGTGGTGTGTGTGTGTGTGGTGTGTGTGGTATGTGTGGTGTGTGTGGTGTGTGTGGTGTGTGTGGTGTTTATGGTGTGTGTGGTGTTTATGGTGCTTGTGGTGTGTGTGGTGTGTGTGGTGTGTGTGGTGTGTGTGGTGCGTGTGGTGTGTGTGTGGTGTGTGTGTGGTGTGTGGTGTGTGTGGTGTTTGTGGTGTGTGTGGTGTGTGTGGTGTGTGTGGTGTGTGTGGTGTGTGTGGTATGTGTGGTGTGTGGTGTGTGTGGTATGTGTGGCGTGTGTGGTGTGTGTGGTGTGTGTGGTGTGTGTGTGTGTGGTGTGTGTGGTATGTGTGGTGTGTGTGGTGTGTGTGGTGTGTGTGGTGTGTGTGTGTGTGGTGTGTGTGGTATGTGTGGTGTGTGTGGTGTGTGTGGTGTGTGTGGTGTGTGTGGTGTTTATGGTGTGTGTGGTGTTTATGGTGCTTGTGGTGTGTGTGGTGTGTGTGGTGTGTGTGGTGTGTGTGGTGTGTGTGGTGTGTGTGGTGTGTGTGTGTTTACGAAATTCGTGGAGAGGGAACCAGCCAACATTTTGGGCTCAGCTTTTGCACAGCGCATGGCACCAACATGCAAGTCCGATGCAAAGGCACGAGCAGATCCGACGAGCGGAACCTAGAAAATTGCCCGCTGCAGGACGTGGCTTTTGAACCACAGAAGAGGGCCTTCACCACTTTTTTCCGAAGTTAAACCAAGGGCACCGATGCAAAAAATCGTCCCAAATTTTACTCTCACGCGAGAAGGCGCCAAAAAGGTCATTTGAGAGAGTATATAGGAAAATGCAGTTCTCAAAAGTCGTTTTTTTCGTGGCCAAGCGATCAAATCACCAGCTATTCCAGAAATCCCGTAATCAGTTCTCTTCCGCCCCTTCTCTTCCCGCTCTCCCCTCCCTCTCCTCTTAAAAAAATTACAAACGTTCCAAGCTTCCAAGCAAGCATTAATAAAGATAAAGATAAAAACAACCAGAGCTTCATGCGGCCGAAGCTCCGCCCACGCGGTTACCTCTAAAGGCACTTTGGCTCACTGCACTGTAAAGGTTCCCCATTCAGGAGAAGCTGGAACATTAGAATAACATCCTACAGGTTCATTGCCGCTTCGCTACTGAAGTACTCTTACTGCCAAGCCGTACTTTTCCTATACACCCAGACAACTGAACGGTACTCCGCAAAACGTTTGGGAAAGTTTGGGCGAGTCACCTGCGGAAGTTCCGAGGTGCTACGGAACGAACCACAACAGTAAAAGAGAACATCTAGGCAGGATTCCAAGCTTGCTCTATTGACGGCGAAACTTCACTATCCTCTGCACTACAGAGGGCATATTCAATGCTTTCTAGTTGCTGGAGAGATAACATCGTAAGCGCACTTCCAAAAACCTGCGGAAGTACCGGCAGATCAAAATGCTGCGGAACGCTGGCATTTTTCAAATTTTTAGCAGCGATTTGTCGCAAGTCCTTCGAAAGTTCCCGTTGTTAACGTTACTAGCAGAACCGCTGCAAATTTCTTGTCCTGCAGAATTTCCGGTGGATTCTCTGAAAACAACAACGCAGCCTCTGCAAATGCGCGGAGCATACTGCGGCAGGGTTCTTTTCTTGGTTTTTCTTCTGCTACAATTTCACAAGTACATTCACATAAAGCATGTTTTATTTGCTTTTCAATTTAGCAAAATAAAAACGCGAATTGTTTACTCTAAGAATCAAAGAAAAACAAGGTCTGAGTTAACAACATTAGCAAGACGATAATCAAACACTATATATCAACAGAGCATCACAAGAACAGTAACACGCCCCTGAGGACACATCAAAACGTAATCAAAGAAAAGATTATTCCGTAATTAGGGCTAAGCATTTCGAATGGATTGCCTGTTGGTAGGGGTTTGATGTTGTGCGGGCAAAAAAAAATCAGGTAACGGGGTTTGTGAGGAAAAATTACACATGATGCGACACGACATTCGGATTCATGGATAGGTAGTAAACCGATCAATACACATACTTTGTTTGCCAGGCTGCTATCACGCTGAAGCGATTAGAATAAAGAGGTGGAATTAGCGCAAGAAGCGTATAGGAACGAATTTGTAAAAAATTCTACACAGCGCTAAGCGAGAAAAAGAATAAGACACCAATGCGAACAATGCACAGATTGCATCCACGAGGGGGTTGCGAAGGACCAATCGCGGTTGGCGTCCACTGGTGAAAGAATATATGACCGAGGAGGCGCAGACAGCTAAATACGTACCGCAGTCTTAGCGCAACTTGTGCGTCGCCCGCATTGATGACGCAGGTATAAACGCAAGAGTACGACTACATGATAAACACAGGAACAGATTATGAAAAATAGCTAATAGCTTCTGCACTTGTAAGACGCCGCAACGACTGTAGAGAGACTAGGAAAAAACTGCGCTTTTAAGGAAAAATCTAGCATATAAAAAACGAACAAAGCTAGCCTGCTAAATTATGCCGCTTACGACAAGCACAGCGGGTGTTTGTGTAAAATAAAAGGTATACAAGGTAGATCAAGCCCGTGGATTGTAATGAGGGGATCTGCGAGGTAATATTGCCGTCGGTTCATCATAATGAGAAGCTTGAAATAGCGTGACTATTTTTTAAATTTTCTCCGTTAAGTTTGTTTTTTGTACCATTTCTGAAGTTACGGACTTCTGGCGATTATGCAAAAATTACCAGAACTACTAGGTTTTACTAAAAGCATGCGCATAGCCGCTAAACATTTTGTTTGCGTGACGCGTGACAGTAATGCGCCAATATGTAGACGCGAAGCAGCAACCGCAACGCACTAACGACGCGGTGCGACCAAACGAACGATCGATAATCGCCTCTAAGACTGCGTCCAGAGTTGATGCCAACACTTCCAGCGCAGTTAGCGCCACGCCGGAACATTGATCGATGCGAGGACCGTCAACGTGGTTTCAACACGGTACTGGCACGGAGCTGGCACAGCTTCGGCATACTAGCGACTCTGCTGCCCAAAGACGGAGTGCTTCCAGTTGTTTGCTGTAGCAAGCATGAAAATGCCATTTCATTACTAGCGGGTACTACAATATAATTTGACTATTTGGAAACTATACGCCAAGGTCCGCAATTGCAGAAAGTGATTTTTGTACTAAAATGGACTGAAATGATGAACGACATTATAGTTACCGCGGGCTAAAACAATACTACGAATAGATTGTACTGTACAAGAGGTGTTAGAACTGATAAGAGACTCAGCGATATAGCAGTGGTAGAGTCAGAGACGGCAAATTGTACTCAAGATTCAAACTTAATACTATTGAACTTGTGATTCCGATATATGTGCTTACTGTAAAAGCTAGGTAAACCGTATGGGCAAAAAATCAACAACAAAAATCGTAAGTCAAATAAGGTAGGACACGATGAAGGTAAGAAAATACCAGGTAGGGACGAGATAAGCAAAAGGCCACGAGACACGTTTATCAGGGGGGGGGGAGGGTGCAGGAGGGGAACGGGGCGAAGCGCATAGTGGAGACGGGGTAGAATTTTTGACACATGCATGATTCAGCTAACAAAAAGTTGGAGGGTAAAGACCGTGGCCTGCGGTATGTGCTGTGATTAGATGTTTGAGTACGCATGAGGCCGTGAACTTGGTATGCAACTTGAAGATTGTGATGGGACCACGTCGGGCGACAAGCGATGACATACGGCGGCAAGCGGCGACACGTGGCAACTTAGTCTAGACGTTTTGGCTGACTGGCTCTCTTTGCTTGTGAATAGTGATTAGTAAGAGCTCGAGTGAAATAGAGTAGTGACGCTTGTAGACGAGCTTCGGTGATCAACAGCATTACGTGGATCTGCAAGACATACATTTTTTCATTTCGAAAAAAAAAAGAAACTGAAGATTACCTTCTCAGAAATTTTAAAATCCTTCATGACTGATGCTCTCATATCATCTGTGATGCGATGTGGAAAACACGCGGCGGTTTTGACAAATGTTTTCATCTCACGCGACAGCAATGTGTTTACCTGAATCATTCGAAATTGATATAAATCCGATTTTTATCTTCGGGGCTTGTCACAAGTGTGAGCAATTCAAATGCTAAGATTTTAAGGCTTCATATAGTTCGGCGTTACCTATAGACATAAAATATGCTCAAAAAACATGCGCACATTGAATTTGTGGAACTTTGGGTTCTACAAATTCAATGTGCGCGTCAGGATGGAAATTCAAGTTTTTTAAAAATCCACTGAAGTTACAAACTGTCCATGAAATAAGCACCCTATTTTCAGGTGTGTAAGCCGCACGCTTTTTGTTCTAAACGCGAGCAGACCCAGGCGTGCCGCCGCGCATATGTCTCGCGAAGCGGTCGCCTTATCGCATACTGCTCTCACTTAACGCGCTCCATAATGACAGTCAGTCTTTTGGCGTGTTCGCCTTTAGAGCGAAAAGGATGCGGCTTATACACCTGAAAATAGGGTATATATTTGGAAAGGATAAGGCAGTACTGTATCCAAACATTGTGAGATTGTAGATACAAATTCCTATAGATACAAATTTGAAAGGCCTTGATAAAGTCGTTGCCCAAACAGCAGCTTATAGTTTTTATTCGTGGCTAAACTCCAATATCTCGTCCAGACCGTACCCTTTACGAACAAACCAACCGTAACAAAAGGACCTGAATGGGTCTTTTTCGGAACGATATGGTGTGGGCGAGATCGTCGAGTCTTTTGGTCTCTGTCACGAATGAATCTTACGGTCGCTTAAGCAATGGCTTAGCTAAAACTCCCAAAACATCAATGCTTTGCAATATTTGGCTTGGCCACTTTTGTATGTTCGCCCAAAAAGGATAGAAGGAGTCATGAAATCTGAACCAAATTTGGCAGACATAATGTTTGGGGGTGGGGTGTATGTTAGTAGGACATTTTTTTTCGGGATCTACCGTTTGACTCCATTATTGATTTTTTGCACATTTTGCTTCAAAAATTTTGTATGTTCGCCCAAAAACGATAGGAGTCATGAAAACTAAAACAACTTTGGCAGACATAATGTATAGAATGGGGAGTGTGTTAATAAGTTTTCTGTTGAGGACATACGGGTACACTATTGATTTATTGGTTTCTTCGGATTTTGCTCAGCAGATTTTTTCCGCCCTGAATGATACAAGAATTTTCAACTCATTACAAAGACGCATGTGTTTTGAATCCCGAAGGATAGCTGTTGATGATTTCTGTATCATCAACCATTGATGAACTCTATATTCTAGATAGCCTACGGAATACCCGTAGGCTAAATTGTGAGCTACTCACTCTTGAGTATCTAATCACTCAAGAGTGAGTGGTACCCGTGCGCCAGGAGTGTAGCCAATCGGCGGCATCTCCTTTCACTAACTCGTGTACATTGTACCTTTTACTCGGTTCAGCTCCGCCTTCCTTCCTATATAAGGAGCCTCCGAATGTATTAGAGGTTGCTCCCCGGTCCACACCGGGGCACCTCAAACCTTCTTCACGACTAATCTACGCCAGTGCGAATAAATCTATATTCCACAACCTCGTCTACCCCTAATCACTTGGTACCCACCAAAATAGCATAGGCTACCTTGCAATTTGCTTCGCGGTTCTGGTTTTTATTGAGATTTAATATCAAAGGAATGTATCTTATCAGCAACTTTGAACCAATTTCATCAGATAACTAGACAAAGGGGGATTTCATCTATGCATTTGAATGGTGTGAGCCGTTTGCTTACAAGTTATTTGATTTGAAACATACCGATTCTTCTATCGATTTATTGATTTCTTGCATTTCTTGCTTTAGAGAAGGCCCAAACTGTTCGAAAAAATTAGGGGTATGGACCAAACTTCGCATACATGAGCTTCGGGGCAGATGAATGTCACTAAACTTTTATATAATCTATTGTGGCCTTTTAATTCATTGACTTTTTTCCTTAGCAGTTTTGTTATGACCCCAGAATGCTAGCAAAAAATTATGAGATCTGAGCCAAATTTCGCAAACACAAACTATCAAAGGTCTTCTGTTAATAAGCTGTTTCCACTAATATAGGCTAAATCGATTTACTGAATTTTTTTTACTCTACGATTTTGGATGCAGGTATGCAGATTTGTCTGAACAATGCCTCGAAAAATGGAAAAGTTTGAGTAAGTTCCTCCTCAATATTTTGAGCTCAAAGGGCTTTTTCTTCTACTATACTAGCTATTTCCGCTGTTATGAAATTGAGCTCCCGTACTACTAATCTTCAAAACTTGTTTACAACTTTTTACGCATCAAAGATGACGATGTCAAAATCAGTTAATCCTTGTAAATATTTGCTTGAGCCCTCTCTATTTCTCATCCCGCAGTCCCAAAAAAGCTGATCAACAAACACAACAATCAGAAAAACGTAAAGATCCCTCTTCTCGCGCCTCATCGCATTCACATATGTATGCAGTCAATCCCAATGACACATGAGTACATGACGGCCGACCGACGGGGTAATCATAGGTTACGACTTCCGAACGGGGTACGACGATTAGATCGTCAAACCAGTTTTTCATATTGTATGTCCAAAAATATGATGTGAGTGTACTTACACAGGAAAACAAATCCGAATACAATCCGCAAAAAATGGAGATTGGTTAGACAGAGGGGTGGGGACAAAAACTCAAGCAAATTTGGCGGATACAATCATGCAAGGAATGGGCAAGAAAAAAACCTCAATTGCCTTTAAGCTGGTGAGCGGAACTTCCGCAGAATTATCGAAAGACATGCCAAAGTTCCGTCCCGCAGATACGTTTCAAGACTGCTCTAGTTTTCGAAAGTTGCAGTTTTCTACGAAAAAGGCAAAATCCGTAAAATTCCACAAAGCTCCGTAAAAAAAGGTGCGGAAGTTTCCAAAAACGGTAAAACTTGCGTAGGATCGAGAACCTGCCATATCCCCGCAAATTTATGCTACTGTTTTTTATCCTAGTTCTCAAGGACAAAAGATTTTCCTAAGAGGGCAGAATCGATAACCTCACAAAACTTCGTGAGTGCTGCGGAAGTTCTCAACAACAGCAGAATTTCCGCAAGACTATCGAGAAGCTTGTCATAGTCGCGCAGATTCACTTTTTGTTGTATTTTCTCAGAGCTAAAAGATTCTCAAAAACTGAAAATGAATGAAATTTCACAATTCCATAAGCACTGCTGCAGAAGTCTACAACTGCAGGACTTCCGCAGAATCATCAAAAATTCTGCTATCCCGCACATATTTACTGATGAATATTTTGCAAAGCCAAGAAGGTTTCCACGAAAATGGAAATTGATAAAATTTTGCGAAGTTCCACAAGATGCTGCAAAAGCCAACTTCGGCAGAACTTCCGCAGCACCATACCTCACATATACTTCAAAAAAAGAAAGCACATGCTTGCACATGTATCATATCCAGTTATCATCCTCATTTCGCACTTTCTACGCTCTATGTTATCGCAACATCAAACCCATCTATCAGTTAGGTGCAGAACCGTTTTCAACCGTTTTTTCCAAAGTGCTACGCCAATTTTCTCAAGTTAACGACTCGGTGATTAATACCGCATCACAGTTACGTATCTTTGATTGATAATTTCGGCACCCCTGGCATTCCGATCTCTTATCTAATGAGCAGACATTGTAAGAGAGACTTGTCGGAGCAAAGGATCAGCTTATCTAGAGATGGATCAAAGCGGCATGGGAAATTTGTACGCAACAGCATCGTTTGATAGCAATCACTCTGTTTTTTCAGTTAACAAGAAAACGTTTTCTGATTTACAATTGACAAAAAATTACAGGAATCTCAAATAGGAAAAGGTTTTCTTAATAAGAAACTGGACTTACCTTAGCGTAATCATAATCATCATGTCGTATTCCGAAAAGAGCGTGAATGTAGTTCCATACAGCAGAACGATATACCGTAGTGTCGACATTCTCGTAACCACCCATATGAAATGTAAAAAAAAGTTTGAGCAAACTAAATAAGTGAATATTGAGGTTGAAAAGTGATTTTAAGAAATTAATTGCATTGCCTACAGAAAAAAAACCAAAGATTTCTCCCACATTGAATTCAGATTACTGTAGGTACACTATAGAGTACTGTAAACATTACGGCACATTACTCAGTGAACAAGTGTGATAAGTTCCTAATGAAACTTCACTAGGTTTGGAAAATGAAATAAATCGAAGATATGGATTTACATACATGAAAATTCAATGGATTTGGCCCATGTTTGATGTATATTACTGCAGGTATACTGTAAGTGTACCGTACCCGTGAGGGCATACTTTTCGTCACTTGAATAGATAAGTTCCATTATTGAAGAATACTGGATAAGGGATTCACAAAGTGTTTTGCTATGTGCTATTATTTGGCGCAAACTGTGGGTGTACTGTAACACTAAGATTGCTAGCATATTCTGTGCGATTGACTATTAAAAGTCCCAATGAAGTCTTTAATTTTATATTCTCAAATATATAAATATTAAGCTCGCTAGGCTGTTTTTTGATTGACCGTATCGTTATCGTATCCCACACGAATTTTTCTGAACATGGAGTTTTCAATATGCCTTGACAGAGTTCACAACAAACCGATGTACACACAAACTGCAGCGAAACTCCGTGATCCTACAGTACCTCTACCGTATCATTTTCAATTTTTCCACGTGACGACGCAATAAACTCACAATGAATATGTTAGTTTTTGTATCAGATCAATATTGTCGTCAAGATTTTGGGCAGTTTCCGGGATCAAATCGTTTAAAGGATTGAATCCATGATCCCAGGTGAACTCCTAAAAAAACTGATACGTGATTTTCGGAAAAAAAATTAGCGTGTTCTATATACCCACATGAATTTTGAAGGTCTTGGCACGATCTTTTCTTGCTGCAAAATCTACATAACCAAATTCCTTCTGATAACTGAACACGGCTTCTTCATCACTGTTTCCTATTGGTGATTCACCACCAGTATGCACATCTGCAAATAAATATATTCATCATCTTTTCACTCTCTGGTCCTTAACGTATTGATGATGACGCCTGATTTTGCTGGCGACGCGATTTTGCACAAACTTTCGGCGCGGAAAAGTTTCGTGATTATTTACGAAATGTGAACCTGTTTCGTAAGCAGCTGCAATCATATTCTTAGACGAAGAAGACTATCGATTTTAAGAGGGCAAAAAATGGAAAAAATACTGAACTGTGGAATACTAGGCTTAAAAAGTGTATGATTTTGCAAGGGCTATGAGCCAGAGGTGACTCACATCATCCCTGGAGGCAAAAAGTGCATGTGCCACCGGTGGTACACATCGTCGTCAATGGTTAATCTTCATAGTTTTAAGTTTTCACTTGTTACAGAGAAGAACACAGCATAAAACTGCACAAAAACGAGCGATTCTGCAATTGCGACATTAGCACAAGGTCAATTATCGATTGATCCCGTGCAAAACCACAAAATTGTGCCAAACAACGCAAAATTACGATTTCGAATCGAATTCGCGACTTATTCACTGTCTAGTTCCTGGTCTTCAGGGGGTCAAAGATGTTTTCTCCTCTTCCTTCCCCTTCCCCTTCCGTGAAAGTTTTGATATATTGGTCCCCAGTGAACTCGAATCTACAGTGCTTCTAAATTCAGAGTCGTTTGCACCAGCGGTCGCGCGACCGCGTCGCGCCCGCATCAATGGCGCCGCCTTGATCGATGGCGCCGGCGCCGCAAAATGCACGGGCGCGACGCGGTCGCGCGACCGCTGGTGCAAACGACTCTGCAATTTAGCCCTGTACTAACCAGACGATCCGTCAGCTAAGGCGAGAAAGTGTAGCGTGTTACTTGCAGACATCTCGCCGCCATCGATTGTTGGACGTCGAGGTGTTGCCGCAGTTCCTCGACCTGCAATATAGCACGATATGAGAGGAAATTGTGTGCTTTCAGTCGATAAAGCAAAGAACCGGCCAATGTGGCCCAGAACATGGAGGCCCTATAGAGCTCCGGACGGAATCACACTAACACTGCCCCATGTAGGAGAAAAATCCGCTTGGAAGCTGAACAAAATCGTCAAGGGGTCGGGACTTCCTATAAGGCTCGCGTTTTCACCACCTCCTACTCTGAAGGAGATGCTCACGAATACAAGAATTTATGAAAGAAAATGCGATGGATGCCAATACTGTGAAGAACAAAAAAACTGTTCTTTACGAGGAACAGTCTATATGATCGAATGCGAAGGATGCGGCGAAAAGTATATAGGAGAGAGCGGAAGGCCTTTGAAGTTGAGATTAGATGAGCACAGGAGAGCGTTACTCAATCCTGCCTCCTATCCAAGAGAAAGTTTTTCAAGGCATCGGACGCTCAAACATGCCATGCAGAAAGCACCGCCTTTGAGAGTGACTGTTCTACATCGGAACTTGGAAAATACCTTAGAAAGGAAAATTAGGGAGGCTTACGAAATATGTAAGCATAGCCCGCAAAAAACAGTAAAGAAGAAATGAAAGATGTTTTGATGCTAATTACTTGAGTGCAAGCGACTGGAGTTCATTCTTTACTGACTTAACAAAGAGGGAGGCCGCTGCTACTGTATACTATCCCGCAACAACCCCACCCCTCTCTACCTCCCATCTAAGAAGAAGATGAAGGTACATGCGCCGTTTGTATTTCATTCTCATATATCATTTATATATTGTAATCAAGGCCTGAAGACGATTTTAAAAATCGAAACGTTGCCATTGCCAATAAACTACTGATCAAGAGCTCTCTCTCCTCAATACTTACACCAGAATCCAGCATGAAGCTCAGAGATAACACTATACTAAAAGAACATTTTGCAAAACTGCACAAAAGCTAAGAAATTCTGCAATTGCGGCACTTGCACAAGATTAAATATTGATCGATCATCCATACTTTACGCGTAAATTGCGCCCAAATTTCAATTCCTCATAACTTTACAGAGTTTCCTTCGACGAGGTTCTGTGTGTTTTCTGTCGATAAAGCAAAGAACATTGCAGAAAACTGCACAAAAACACGGAATTCTGCAATTGCGGCACATGCACAAGGTCAAGCATAGATTAACAACTGTGCGAATGCGAAACTTGCATCCAATTACAGTTTCCTTCCTATCACAAAAAAATATTGCATTTTCGCTCAGTTCATCATTTCCAATATCAGTTCCTTCCCCCCCCCTTCCCCTCCCTTCAACCCTTGCAACAATTCTACAACTGCACATATTTTGGCCCCATTACATCCATCCTTTCATTACCCCATTATACAGCTGAGTACTTGCAACATTTTCACAACTTCTCGTTAGTTGCTTGAGCGTAATCCAAGATTGGTACAGAACTTTATCGCACAGAGTAACAGACTAACGTTTCAGCGAACTCGCCTTCTTCAGAGTCTGAAAAAGTCGAAGACACATAAGTAAACTATCCGATCAAACAACTCGTCGACTACAGAAAAAGGAGCCCAACTCTCTAAGAAAAACAACAGCCTAAACCAAAACCAAGATTAAGCCAGTGCTCACCTTAGCAGATGATAATTTGGTGGGTGCAGTCCACTTATGTCAAAAGCTGTACTGCTTTATTTTTATAATTAACTAGTGACCCGGTTCTGACCTGACCCCATTATTCAAAAGCCACAGAGGCTCTGATATGGTAACAGTTCGTTAGTAATGGCTAGGCACTCGTCCTTCCGGTTGATTTTTTGATTTTGGGCGGCTATCCAAAACGCTTCGAGTGTCTTGCGCGCTAGGATTTCGGGTTCACGCGCCAGGATTCGAACCTGCACCACCATCCGCGTCGTCATGGCTGAGCCTGCGATGTATGCCTACAAAGTAGCTACGTTGCCCTTGCTGAGACCATCTAAGTGTTCTTTGATGCGCGTGCATAGGGGCGACCCGTCTCGCCAATATACGTGTCTCCACATGATGTACACGTGATAAGGTAGACAACACCTGATACCATACAGTCTCCTTCCTTGCCGTATGGACAAATCACACAATTAGAAGTTGTACACAGACGATCATACTCCCGGTTTCGTACTAGCTGCTGTTCAAGGTTTGCGGGCGGAATGTCGACGATCCTTGCCATATCGTTGAGGCCTGCTTGATGAAGTAATTTGCGAACAGCCCTACTAAACTCTTCCGAGATATATGGCAGACAGAATGGGATCTGATCATCGGCTCCCGGTCTAGGCAGTGTACGATGGACTCGGTATCTGTAAGGGTGACGAGTTTTCGTGCTGTATCCACTAGATCTTGCTACTGATTCTGCGAGCTCCAGCGAATGCATCTTTTCCTCTCTATCAGAAGAGACCCCTGCAGCCGTTCTAAACATGTTCCCCACAATGGAGGCCTTCATTCGTGCGGAATGTGCTGAAGAATGGTGTACTGCTGCTCGGCTTTCGGTACCATCTGGTCTTGAAACCTCTGTCCGATAGACATAACTGTACGTTGAGGAACGGCAGCCATCCATTTTTGGGTTTCTCCCTCGTCATCTTGATGTTAGTGTCCTGGGCATTCATGATATTGAAGCAAGCATCAAGCTCGGCCTGGGTAGGACATACGATACAGCAGTCGTCCACGTACCGACAGTAGAGCAGAGACTTGCTCGCCAGAACTGGGGCTTCCACCTTAGACATGAAAACAATTGCTAGGGTCGGCGCTAGTCTTTGTCCCATAGCCAATCCTCTAATCTGCCTGTAATAGTTTCCACACCAACGAAATATGGAGCAGTTGAGACATTCTTTTACCAACAAGATGCCTCTGATGCTAACAAGGGAAGGATGGTCAGTCAAAGCGACCTTTTGCGATAACTTGTACATCATTATGTAGGGCATAAAACGCTGATTCCAAATCTGTCTTCCTTATTCGCGGCGCGTTCCTGCACAAGAAGTTACAGTCGAGTAGATTTGGCGGTAAATATAGTGTGCTTGCACAGAAGGTGAAATGCGGTGAGATTTGCGCGTGAACAAGTAGCCACATCAGTACCGCGG